TATGTGAATGAATGTTTGACCAGGAATACACAAAATCTTTTCTTCAAACTACGTCGAGTCCGTAAAAATTGCAATGAGTCAATTAAACGTTGTTTTATCAGAGGTGGTAAAATACTGGCTAAGAAGTCTGACACTGTAATACTGACACTGTAATACTGACACTGTAATACTGACACTGGAATACCTATGTTATAACCAGTGAGTCACACCTCAGATCTTTCCTCACTGACTGTGGGTTACCGGCTGAGTAACCAGATACCAAGTGAACCCCATCCCCTGGAGTCCTCGAACTCAGAACCCTCTCAACCTCATCTAGAAACCAAAGTGTGCTATAGCTCTGCATGTACATTCAAAAGGTTTTTAATTTTAATTTTTTTCTTGTTTATACCACAGTTTTATATTATTAATTTCTTCATTTGTCAATTACAGTATTGTTATTTGTTATTACTCTTATTCCATTTACATAATTTTAATTTTGAATATTTTTTTATAAATCTAAATTTTACTGTAACTTGTAAAAATTATTGAAAGTTAGATTTGCAGCAGATTAGTATTTTACTGTTCTGTAATCGTTTACTTTATTGTATCCTAGCAGATGAGGTAGCCAAAGAATCTGCCTTTAAAAGATAAATTGTATATAATCTTTGATTGCCAATAAGCTCTGAGAGCAATAGTACACCAAGAACTTCAAGAAATTCTTGTAAATCTGAGGCAAAGTGAAACTGACACCAGTAATTCCATCTATCATCATACTATCATGCAAGAGGAGCCACACATCTATGGATCATCCAATAAAATCAGCAGACTTCTAGATGTTACTACTGCTCAACTTAAACTCGGTTACAAGTATCTCTGGGAATTCTCATTATCTGCTGATGTAGACCTGACCAAATGTAAACTGTGTCAACAAAATTGTTCGCACACCCTCCGTCACTATGTGATGGAGTGCGAAATGATACATGAATTCAGAGTGAATTCTGAGTGAATTGAACTTATAGAATTATAATATTCTATAACACATGTTCAAGAGATGTGTAAACATTTCATTCAAAATTATCTGCTACCAGAAATTTTAGACAAATATCCCCAGTTTGCTAACTAACTGTAGGTAGTAACTAAGTGATTGTAACCTATCTACCGCTGCCCACTGGATGGGGAGGGGGGCCGTGTGCAGGATAAACATATCAATCATGACACTACCTCTCCACATATGTCAGTTGCGAAACCGACCAAAAGTATAGAGACTATACTTGTGGTCGGTTTCGAGCACATTGTTCATGTGACGATGTGCATTGAATTGTGTAACTATAGCTCATCAAGATTGTAACTTGCTAAGCTAAATGAATTGTGGGGTTCAGTCCCTGAGCCCATTATATGCCTCTGTAACCCTTTCCACTACCGCCCACAACATGGGTATGGGGTGCAGAATAAATGACCTAAACTAAAACTGACTCTATAGTATATACAGGCAAGCTGATATTGACCCTGAGCTAAATCTGCTGTCACAAATCTATAATAACCCGCATATTAGTCATTACTACTGCAGGTATTACACAGCAAGCCTTGCAAAAAGCAAATTCCAAAATAACACTTGCCTATCAGTTTTCAACCAAGATGTCAGATCAGTTGGTAAACATTTTGATGATATAAATGCATTACTCACAGCCCTATGTACTATACTATCGTTCATTATTTTAACAGAAACCTGGCTAAGTCAATACCATACCCAACTTTACAACTGAGCCGGTTATACAGCCATTCACAACTGTAGGCCAAATAAAAAGAAGGTGGCACAGCTATCTATTAGCAAAATACCTTCAGTCCTTCATTTGCTCTAGTGTCATCAGTGATAAAGACGACTACTGTGAAACATATCTTTGCTTAATTCTCGATCAAATCCCTTAAATCCTCTCTGACTATGAGAGCTATCTATAGATTTCCCAATACAAATACAACTGCATTCTCATATAACCTAAGGAACCTAATCATAAACAACAATGTCAGCATAAATCACATCATTCTATGAGGTGACTTCATTATTGCCCTGTGCCAACTAAATAGCCCCCAAGTCGACTATTTCCTAAACAGCATGAACTCCTGTATGCTAATTCCTACAATCACCACACCCACTCGAATCACTCAAACATCCGCTTGGAACACATATGGACTAACATAACAATGTACCAACAATATGGAACTGAACATTATGGGTTCCTCAGAGTCTGTATGGTGCAACATACTTACTCAAGATGGAAGCAAAATGACTGTAGGAGTATACTACAGGGCTGACACAGCAGCGGAAGAGGACATTACGAATCTGCATAATGTGATCAATGCGGCACCTGAAACTCAAACTCTAATAATGGGAGACTTTAACCACGAGACCATAGAATGGATCAACTTAACATCACAGCAGAAAGTGAACAATTTCTCGACCTTGTGGAGGACTTCTTTCTCATACAACATGTGGTAGAGCCCACACGTGGTAACAGTATACTTGTTCTTATGCTGATTACAGAAGAAGGTGTGATTGATTAAATTCGTGTGAGGGAAAAGCTAACCCCCCACGTGCGACCACCATATTTTAAGATGAACTACGAATATTGAAACCCACATAAAGGTCAAAGGTGATGAATTTCTAGATTACCAGCGAGATGACTATTAAGGAATGAGAGAGGAACTGCAAACTTGGAGGGAGCTGATGGATGAACATGGCACGGAAGCTTCATGTCAAAATTTCAATAGTGTCATCACGGAACTAGTTCAAAAATATGTGCCGAAAAGAAGAAAGACAAGAAAGAGAAATAGATGGATGACTCAGGTCGTAAAACGAGTATTGGTAACCAAGAGGAACCTCTGGAGATGGATAACGTTCTCCAACGAAGGATTTATACGTTCTGGAGAACGTATAAATCTACGTTGGACATCATTGAGTTATACTGAAGAGCACTAAACTCCGTCACTCAGAAAATTAGAACGGCCTAAAGAAACCACGAGAGAAAAATTGCCTAAAACATAAAGAAAGATCCTAAATCATTTTCACCTATATAAGAGGTAAAATCAAAACAAAGGACTCAGTTGGACCCTTAATAGATCTGACTAACCAAGCTATAATGAATGATAAAAAGAACGGTAAAAACTCTAAATGATTATTTTACATCAGTGTTCACACTCGAAAAGTTGGATAACAATCCATTTCAAACACAAATGTTTGAAGGAGGGGAGGAGAAAGAATCTAGGGATATACCCATAACATGCGAAATAATTAGAAAGAACATTGACAAACTAAAAGACTCAAAAGCCCCAAGTGTGGATGGATATCCAATCCAAAGTCTTAAAGGAACTGGTAAAAGAACTATGCCTGCCGCTGAAACTACTTTTTCACAAAATCTCTAGACCAAGGGATAGTCCCTTTAGATTAGAAATATGCAAATGTAACCCCCTTTTTCAAAAAAGGCAGAAATAGCTCAGCAGAAAAGTACCTGCTGATAATCTTGACATCACACATCTGCAAGCTTATGGAAAGAATCCTCAGGGAGGAAATCATTCACCATCTTTCAGTGAACATCCTTGTAAAATCGATACAACATGAATCTGTTAAAAACAGATCCTGCCTTACAAACTTGCTCACATTTTTAGAAACGGTAACCAGCTACTCAGACACAGGCCTTCCGGGGGAAGTAACACCTGAATTTTGCTAAAGCTTTTGATAAGGTACCACATGAAAGACTGGCAAGGAAATTACAGGCCCATGGAATAAATGGTAAAATATTAGAATGGATAAAAAATGGTTGAAGGAAAGAAAAGAAAGGGTCGTGCTAAATGGAAATTAATCTGAATAGAAAAATGTGATAAGTGGGGGTGCCACAAGGGTCCATTTTGGGGCCAACCCTATTTATCATATACATAAATGATAGACGAGAATATTACAAATCATATTATCAAATTTGCAGACGACAAAGATTTGTGGTAAAGTGGGAAATGATAGCGATATTGAAGCCTTACAAAGAGATCTACATGAATTCCACAAATGGTCAGAAGAATGGCAAATGCTTTTTAATATCGACAAATGCAAGATCATGCATGTGGGGCATAGCAACCATCGCCACGATTACTAAATTAATAGCATTACATTACAGCAGATTGATGAAGAAAAGGACCTTGAAGTCAAAATCCACCACTCATTAAAAGTTGCACAACAGATGGGTGCAGCAGTCAGAAAAACTAACCAAACTCATAGGATAATAAAGCGTACTTTTGACTATAAGGGAAATAAGGTAATGGTTAAACTATATAAATCTCTGGTGTGCCCCCATTTGGATTACTGTATCCAAGCACGGAGACCTCATTTCCAGAAGGACATAGCTGCGCTGGAAAAGGTGCAACACTGGGCAACAAAAGTCATTCCAGAGCTAAGTCATCTCCCGTAACAAGAGTGCTTGAAGGCCACAGGGCTATCAACACTGCAAGCCAGGCATGGCAGAGCAGATCTCATTGAAACTTTTAAAATACTGAACACGTTAAAGGATGTTGATCTGGATAGTTTCTTCAGAAGGTCACATGTAACACAAACAAGGAGCAATGGTTTCAAGCTCAAAACTGCCAAACTGTGCTGAGTTTTAAATATACCTAGAAAAGATCATCAAGGCAAATGGAGGAACTTTCAATAAGCCGCTGGCTTCCTATCCTCATCTAGACCCCTAGAGTTACTGGCCCTCAGGTAAATCAAGACTCCCCTGGATTATTGTATCCAGACATGGAAACCTCCACTTCAGAAGCGGTTATTCATTCATATAATATACTAGACAGTCGTGTGAAGCGGTTGTATTGGTCAGGAGAGAATCAGTAGCCACTTAGATAACTGGTCCAGGATCAATGGTCAGCATGTGATGGAAGAGCTTTAGTAAAGAACAGATGAGAGAACATCGTAAGGTGCATGTAAAGATGTCACAAGATAACAGGTGTGTGAACATACACATGAACCTGAGAGTGGTACTTACGTCGGCCATCACGCAGGACCTCGACCTCCGACTGTGACGTCACGGTCTTCCGCAGTGCCCGACTTTGCTGCGGGAGGAATACAAGGCGCTGAACACTACAATTTTGTCAATATTGCAACTTTCTTAATGAAGAATTTCATATATCCAACTATGTGATTGTAGATAGAAAATAGTAATTTAGTATGAAACATCCATCTACACCAAATATAATAAAAGCACAATACAAAAATTCATAAAATCTGCAGACAAAGAAGTAAACATAAGGAAACACATTCAGGTTCGTGGCCATTTACAACAATAGAACATATGCTAATCTGTCCCTTAAAAATACGCACACGCACACTCTCAAAAATTTGGATAAAAGAGAATGCCTGACAGTCTGTCTGTCTGTCTCTCTGTCTGTCTGTCTGTCTGTCTGTCTGTCTGTCTGTCTGTCTGTCTGTCTGTCTGTCTGTCTGTCTGTCTGTCTGTCTGTTCCAGGTTGAGGCCAGACGGTTTCGGTTAATCTCACGCAACTTTCCATGGTGAATTGTAATTATATAGAGCAGTCTTTCCCAAATTCTTTACGGTCATTATCCCCTTTTTTTATAGCGCCCTGATTAATGGTCTCTACACTCAGTAAAGGCGCCCTCTGGTGTCCTCTGGGATCATAACCTCTCCACTGTCTCAACTTGTGACCCCTTTCATGTTGCCAAAAGGCCTACCATGGGGCCATATGGCTTATAGTTTGGGAACCAGTGGTATAGAGAGTGGTAGGGGTCGACCCCAAGCCCCTCTTTCTGTAGGATTGACTCCTAATGCGAAACCCAACGACTCTTTTGAAGCCTAAACTCTGTCTTTGATTGTCCAGTGTTACACTCTGTGTTCAAGCTGTTATCTGCGTTGTATCAACGTCAATAACGTTGGTTCAACGCCGATAACGTTGGTTCAACGCCGATAATGTTGGTTCAACGTCGATAACGTTGGTTCAATGTTACTGAAGCATGTTTTGCCCACTGGGAAGAGAACAAGAGGGAAAAAGGTAGAGAAACCCGATGAGAGTGAGGGAGTGAGGAAGATAGACCCTGAGGGAGTGAAGAAGACAGACTGGGAGGCAGGGAATGAGGAAGATAGACTTTGAGGGAGGGAGGGAGGCAGGGAGGGAGAAAATAAGGCAGACTGGGAGGGAGGAAGATAGGTAGAATGGGGAGGGATAGGTAGAATTAATGTGCTTGAGGGAGAGAGACGGAGACCAAGGCACCACAGGGAACCCTATTTATATCTAAAAAAAATGTCAGTTTGTTTGTTCGAGGTTGAGGGTAGATGCCTTGGGCTAGAGTTACCAGATTCCGCAGGGTGATGTGTGACTGTATGACAAGTGTCACGGGCTGGTTGGGATAGACTCCCACGCCCTCTTTAGCAAGGATTGGTTACTATTGTGACAACCAACGACTCTGGTGAAGCATGATTTGTTACTCTACTACTCTAGTTACTCTAGTATAATTTGCCAACCGGGAGACGGAGTGGGAAAGACAAAGGGGCAGAGAATGGGAAGGAGGGAGAGAGAACAGGAGGGAGAACAAGGTGCAAAATGAGTTCCAAAAAATTAATTCCCAAATGGTCTCTTCAATGACCTGAGAAAAGCCTTTGATACAATAAACCATAACCACCTCCTACTTAAACTTCACCACTATGGTATTCGAGCCCTTGCTCTGGACTATATGCGTCCTATCTCAGTGACACTAATATGTAGCCATCAATAGCATAACCTCCCACATTCTACCATCGAGTAGTGGTGCCACAGGGCAGCATCTCGGGACATCTCCTATTTCTTATATGCATCAATGATTTGCCAAATGTGTCTAACATTCTTAAACCCATACTTTTTGCTGACGATACAGTCTTCATCTCTTCTGACCCCAACTCCTACATACTATAATATTGTCAGCAATGAATTAAAAAAAAAGTTCACTCGTGGATGTCAACCAACAAACTTAAACCAAACATAGAAAAGTCCTACGTTTTATTTGATAGTAAATCATCAAATTAGACTCAACTTCAAATAGACAATGTTAACATTGCCAATAAAAATGAGGGGAAAGTTCCTTGGCCAATACAGACAAGGGACTGAACTTCAGCACCCACATACAACACATAGCCAAAATTCTCATAAACGGTTGGAATACTTTCTACAAAATCTTTCCAAAATCAGATATTATGTTCCCCTCTCTGCTCTCCTTTCATTATACTCTGCACTAATCTATCCCTATTTTACACACGGTACATGGGGTTTAACCACTGCAAATTACCTCAAGTCTATCATCACTCAGCAAAAATCTGCTATCAGTACTATAACAAACTCTGTCATCAGACAACACCCCCCCCCCCCCCCGCTGTTTAAGTCTCTTAACATGCTAAACATACACTCCACATTTTCTTATGTGCTAGCTACATGTGCAAAACCTTGTTCCTAAATCTTGAACTGAAACTTTTTCTTGATAGGTATAATCCATGAGCACCATGCCAGAAATAAATATCTCTTTTGATATTCCCAGAGTCAGACTAAATCTGTGCAAACACTACATGCAAATAAAAGTGAACTCATTCACTGATGAATTAAACCCATCCCATGTTCAAAGGTAAAACCAACAAGTACCTAATTTCATCTTCATAGTTTCCTACCTTGTGTTTCAAACTCACATTGTATCTTGTACTACTCAATTCCCCAATATTAGTACTAACGATATATATCCTTACCAGTGTAATCACCCCTGTTAACTTTCTTTGTAGTTATTTGTTGATATAAAACCTTGCTACAATGTACCTTTTCATCTTACCTGACATGTTAGATTAAGGACCTGCCCCAAACGCTATGCGTGTTAGTGGCTTGGCAAGATTGTAAAAATTCTAGTCTTATGTAATCTCTCCAACCCATTGCACCTTCTTGCAAATAAAAAATTATTATTATTATTATTATTATTATTATTATTATTATTACCCATTCCACTCTTCTCCCCTCTCTTCCTCCCTTTCATTCCCTCTTCACCCTCTCTCCCAATCTCCTTCCCCTTCTAATTCCCTCGCTTCACCATCTCTCTCTCATAAAATTGTATAACTAAGAATTTACCTGCTAAATAAGTCTAGGATAAACACAACCTTCATTTCAGTCTTGACTTTATAAACATTATATGGGTGACCTATCCATACAAATATTTCACTCCCATAGACATGTGAAATATTGTGTCATAGGCTGACTGTCTGGCCTATGACACTCCCATACTCTCCATGATTCATGTTGGAAAGTTGGGTGAGGATAGCCCCGGGCGTCTAGCCTCCAGCCTCAGACAGATAGACTGAAGAACAGACATTCTCTTTTATAGATATAGAGGGATATATGCATAGTTAGACCTATTTAAGGTTTTGTTTAGATTTTTCTTAATTTAGGGAATATTTATAGTACCAGATGAAAGCCCATTATTTGATAAATACATTATGAAACCGGTTGCCCTTGATGGAAACCGATTTGTTTTGAAGATGGGCTGTCTACTGTAAACTAATTGGCTAAAACAGTGTTTGCTGTTTTTGCTAAGATGCGCCTTATAAGAGTTTGCTGGCCAGTGCACACCTCAACCTGATATCACTAGCATTACAATTTTCCAGTACAACTCGCGATAACTAAAGATGCACAATTTGCCTATAGTCAAATGCATTACAACTACAAACTTAATGATTTCCATTCAGAATGCAATATTTACACGTCAATTATGACATTTGTACAGGAGGCCAATGGCCACCTCAACTAGTTTGCAGGCGTTCCAAAAATTGCCCACGATAATCACATTTCTAACCTAATAGACGAGTGCCATGTTGATCAATGAGTCTTATCAGTCATCTTCTGAACCAATTATTCAGGGAAAACTTGAAAATCCCAAACTCAAAAATATTTTACGTAATTAAGGAATATTTTTCTGAAATGCAAACGGGAAGTTTTTTATGGTAAACTATATATGCCTTCCGTAAGAGAAGCTCAACCATAACGATACCAAAGGTAACTTTGCTAATACAGCATTTTGTCCGAATGAAAACCTGGCCTGCAAAACTATTAGATTTGAGAATCATTGCCGTGGGAAGGCTGACTTGCTGGATGAGAACTCTGACGGTCTCCACCTACCCTTCTGGTCTCCCAGACGATGAGGGTGGTGGAGATGATGGAGAGGGCAACGATGCAGCCAGCAAAGAGGAAGTAATCTTGCAGAGCCCATAAGACCACGGTGTACACTTGGAAGATGTAGAATGGGTTATACGCCTGTGGAGAGCATCATTAGTATTAGTATGTTTCTTTTGACACAGGGTTGTCGGTAAATATGGACGAGAATGTGGAGTGGTAGTGGCTGTATTTACTGCAGCAACCACCAGACCACATCAGTGTACCTCTGTGTCAGTGTGTGCTTCACGAAGCGTGGAAGTCGCTAGAACTGTTGCAGTTGGCAGACAATATATATGTCACACCATATCTGTAGTATGTATACAAAGACAATTATGTAACTCAGTTTGTCTACTATATAGCACGCATAAAATTGGGAAGATTACCGTACCTGCAGCCGCTGATAATGAATTATGTAAAGCCATAGAACTGTGATGAATAATCTACACTACTAGCCAATCCTATTCTTAAATCACACATGTCTAGCAGATGATGTTGCATTCACACTGCAAGTCTAGTGAAGATACAGTACTTCAATTATATATTATTTAAAATTCATAACCCAAGAATAGTGTCACAATACCCAGTAAATATTAAGGAATACAAGGATCGTCTCCCTGCCCCACAGACCAAGGTTGTGATAGAACAGAGAAGAGCAACTGACCTGCTGGACGAGGAGCTGCCACACGGAGAGGACCTCGATCTTCATGTAGTTTTCACCGAAGAGTGAGAGTCGGCGAGCAGCTTCGTCTTGCCCCAGTCCTCCACTTCCGTTGTGGAACGTGCTGAACGTCGTCCCGTTGTCAAGTGACCTGTGTGAAAATCCCAGGATACTGACAAGTCCAACTTACACAAGCCTCATACTCAACATATTATGTATGGACGAGTAATTAGCTATCCGCAGGCGATGAGTCACAATAACGTGGCTGAAGTATGTTGACCAATCCACACACTAGAAAATGAAGGGACGACGACGTTTCGGGTCCGTCCTGGACCATTCTCAAGTCGATTGTGACAATCGACAATCGACTTGAGAATGGTCCAGGCGGACCGAAACGTCGTCGTCCCTTCATTTTCTAGTCTGTGGATTGGTCAACAATTAGCTTTCTCTTTTATATAGGCATCAAAACTTTAACTTGCTTAGCTAAATGAATAGTGGAGTTCAATCCCTGAGCCCATTATGTGCTTCTGTAACCATTTCCACTACCGCCCACAAGATGGGTAAGGGGTGCATAATAAATTAACTAAACTAATTCCTCTAAATAGAACGAACAAAAGAAGTATTCATACATAATTAATGATTATGATATAGCAATAAATGTTGAACTATTAGAAGGCCTTTGGCTCCATGTCCCACTTGAGGATAGTGCACAAACTGGAATGGCAGGCAAGGGGCTAAGTGGATAAGGAACACGGATTTAACAGTCTCCGTGGTGTAGTGGTAAGACACTCGCCTGGCGTTCCGCGAGCGCTATGTCATGGGTTCGTATCCTGGCCGGGGAGAATTTACTGGGCGCAATTCCTTAACTGTAGCCTCTGTTTAACGCAACAGTAAAATGTGTACTTGGATGAAAAAACGATTCTTCGCGGCGGGGATCGTATTCCAGGGACCTGCCCGAAACGCTACGCGTACTAGTGGCTGTACAAGAATGTAACAACTCTTATATATATATATCTCAAAAAAAAAGAAAAAAAAAAAAAAAAAAAAAAAAAGGAAGCACCTAAGCCATGGAAAGCAAAATTTCACTCTGATTGGTGGGGGGGGGGGGGGGAGTTATCAGTGGAAAATCTTAGCAGCGGTGTCCAACATGGAGTAGTTTCTGGACCCATATTTTTTCTGATATAGTTGCGTGATCTCCCAGATATCATAGATTCCTTTCTATAAATGTTTTGGTAGTGACCAGAAAATGATGAGGATAAACACAGAGGAAGATTTTCAAACTTACAATAAGTCCTGGATTAATGTGAATACTGAGGCTGACAATTGGCTACTAATGGTAATTTTCTGTTATTTTAAACCAATGAAGATAAGTGTAAGGTATAGGAGGCCCAACACAAGTTACCAGATTGATGGGAACTCCCTCCTGAAGTCGGACAGGGAAAAAGGACCCCAGACTAGAAGACAACACACCAAACTTATCCACTTCAAATGAACTTTCAAGGTTCATTCTCAATTGAGGAGTAACAAGACATGCCTGAGGGAACATCTAATTTCTATCACTGGGAAGTCAAATGCATACAAAATTATGTCAGGTGAATGTCAAGTGTTTATGGATTGTTGATTTGCTTTTATGTGAAGGTCTTCAAGAATTTGTAATCTTATATCGTGGGCTTTATCTAATATTCAAGTGAACAAATCCACAAGGACCTTGACGAGGGATCGAACCTACGTCCGAGAGGATCCCAGATGCGCCTTAATCGACTGAGCTACGACATGGTCAAAAGGATTGCAACCGGGAAATCAACTTGACCTACCACGGATCCTGCAGTTTCTCCAAGACACAAACCATGTTTTTACACATTTCCCCCCGTGCACCCGAGCTCTGCCAATAAGCTATTCTACCTCTTCAACCTTACTTCATTACACACAGAAATCACAATAGCGTGATGCATCAAATGAACATCAAATGGCGCGTCTGGGATCCTCTCGGACGTAGGTTCGAGCCCTCGTCATGGCCCTTATGGATTTGTTCATTTGACTCATCACGCTATTGTGATTTCTGTGTGTAATATCCGAGTGGATTTATTCAGTAGTGCTCTTGTTACGGTGATGTCATGGACTTCTCTCGAGTAATTTTTACGGGCACCCGATTAAAGATGACAGGTTTAACATCTTGTGAGCTTGGTCGACGTCATACCTTTGTACTTAGATTGAAAGTTATATCCTTCATGGGGACAGGTGTACATATACCTGATTTACTTGAGGCCCACTAACCCTAGTGGCATCGACGAGGACAGGACGCCGGCGGCTTGTCGAAGGTCTCCCCCCCCCCCCATTTGCCTTGATGATATTTTCTAGGTATGTTTTAAAACGCCACACAGTTTTATCAGTTACGGCTTCGGCAGGTAAGCGGTTCCATGGGTTAATAACCCTGTGGATCAAAAAGCATCTCCTGTTCTCAATCCTACATTGTGGCTTATTGAGCTTGAAACCGTTGTTCCTTGTTTGTGTTACATCTGACCTTCTGAAGAAACTATCCGGATCAACATCCTCTAACCTGTTCAGTATTTTATAAATATCAATGAGATCCGTCCTCTCATGTCTGGTTTGCAGTTTTGTTAACCCTGTGGTCTTCAAGCGCTCCTTATACAAGAGATGACTTAGCTCTGGAATAACTTTTGTTGTCCGGTGTTGCACCTTCTCCCGAGTAGCGATATCCTTTTGGAAATTAGGTATCCAAACCATGTACAATGTTACTGTATAACATTGTTAATTTACCCAAAGTAGTACCTCCACCTATTGTTAGACTTCACCAATACCTTCACCATTGTTAGACTTACCCTCTCGAAGCTTACCCTCTTTCCCTCTTACATTACTAAATTTACCCTTGTTACACTTACCAAGTTTATAAATAAATAAATAAATAAATGTTTATTTAGGTAATATACAAGGTTAATCTCACGATGTTAAACTTCAAGTCATTTGAATTCAACAGTTACAGTGCATTGTTAACTTACAACATTAATGTTGTCACAAGTTATTTTACCCAGGGTAAAACTTTACCTATGTTAAACTGCCCGTATTATACATTCAAATTTATAATGGAATTTATTAACAAACATCCATGGCCATAGCGTATTTAAACCACCGAGACGAAAAGATGGTGCAATATCAGACCTACGAAATGACAACTATGTAGAGTTCATTCAAGTAAAATAGAAAATAATGTAAGATTTAAAAAAAACTGATTTTTCGTGGTACTTACTGCAACCTGAGGAAGGTGCAGGTGGCGTCGTCCCACAGGTATTTGATATTCTTGTTGACGAAATAGACGCGAGGCGGGGCGTCAGGACCAACCTCTTCGCTCCCTGCAGCGTCCTCCCTCACCACCTCCTCCTCCCACAGCTGCTGGTATATGTCCTATAAAGGAGGTCACGAGAGGTCACTCACACATTCTAATAATTTAATAATAATAAGCTATTAATGATTTACTATTTATTGGATCTGGCATTGTCCTTCCTATTATGTTAGATTGCTGCTACGGAGCTATAACTCCGGTGGCGCTAGTGGCGACACAGACCTTGAGAAGCAACTTGTCAGCTTGGAGGAGGGGGCAGCGGCGGTGGGTAAGGGCGAGCTTGACAGAGGGTCGCCAGGTAATGAGGATGAGGAGGAGGCCTCCCGTCATCACCGTCGCCACCACCGTCAGCGCCAGCTTCACCGGGTCCCGTTTGTACCCCATCACCTCCTGAGGGCACATCGGCGTAGCAGCCAGTCAAGATTATGGTTGTCTTAAAACAAGATATGTTTTGGCTGTTAAAAAAGTAATGATTGACTTGTGGAGGATAAAACTTGTCATCAAAAACAGGACTAATAATTTCAGAACGATGCTTAATTTGAAAGAAAACATAAATTAGATTTGGTTATCACGAGTTCGAGACCGGATATAATATAATATAATATAATATAATATAATATAATATAATATAATATAATATAATATAATATAATATATAACATTATATAATATAATATATAACATTATATATAATATAATATATAACATTATATAATATAATATATAACCTTATATAATATAATATAATATAATATAATATAATATAATATAATATAATATATGAGGTGGTTCCAAGGGTTGTTATAGCCGGGGTAAAGGGTTGTAGAGATAAGCTCCCACAGCTTGTAAAGTGCCCCTGATGGCTAGCGTCTTAAATAGCCTTGGACAACCAAGTCCAGCTCCTGGCCTGCACGTGTGGCTTAGCCTCTAGGCCTGGCAGAACTGCTTCTACCAATAGAAGAAGGGGCGAAGGCGGGTCTCTGGCGCCTTAAAACCAGTTGCTTCGGGCAGATGGGACTCGTTAGCCTGGGAAGGCAGCTCATCTAGGGGAAGGAAAACCCCGAATTCAAACCTCTGCTATCTTGCGGCTACACCCACTCATGGGAAAGACTTTGGGACTCAACCCTGAGGAAAAATCCGGAGTCGGAGTCCCTAAGGCAGTTTGCAGCTGTTTACAGCTACATTTTGGCAACTCCTGGGACGACACTGGTGCCAAGCGTATCGGCGCCTGCCCTTCCCTTGGATCACATCGGTGGCATGGAGAGGGTAGATCTGCTGCATGGGGCAACAGCTGGTTCTCCATAATTACTGCCCAGGCCTGTGCCCTGGAGAGGACACTCCAGCATGGCTCAACACGGGAAGCGACAGTTACCGGTGATAAGCCTACCACTCAACTGGCGTAGAGTGAGGCGCCAGAGGTTGCTTCCGTCGGTGGGAGAAATCATCCGATTTCATAGGACAGCTACCGCCCGCCTTAAGCTGGGCAGCCCCCAGCTAATAAGGTTCTGTCCCGCCACGGTCCGCCTGCTCCACTGGGTGCGTGGGGATTAGGCCACAATCCAATAAGAGGATCGTTAACCCATGCACCAGGCAAAGGAAAACAAACAGAGCCACCCAGCTCTCAAACTAGGCACATGGAATGTAAGGACCATGACATCAGGTCTCTTGGAAGATCTACTGGAAGTCACCGACGCCCGCAAGACAGCTGTGATCAACAATGAACTGCGCAGGCTCCAGATGGACATAGTCGCCCTGCAAAAGACACGTCTGCCTGCGACCGGCAGCATACGGGAGAAGGACTCTTACCTTCTTCTGGCAGGGCAAATCACCAGAAGAGGTAAGGGAGCATGGGGTTGGCTTTGCCATCAGAAACAGGTTGTTGGGATCCATAGTACTGCCCACGGAGGGGTCTGCAAGGATCGTCAAATTTAAGTTTCATACAGCAGCAGGAATGGTTAGCCTCATCAATGCCTATGCACCAACACTGACCTCTACCGAAGCGAAGGACGAGTTCTATGATGACCTCGACCTATACCTAGCCTAGAGAGGCCTAACTCTCAGAGACATACCTCAACAAGAGCCAGTCTTCCTCCTGGGAGATTTTAATGCAAGAGTTGGTTCTGATCACAGCTCTTGGCCTTCCTGCCTGGGCCAGTTTGGATTTGGGAAGATGAATGAGAGTGGGCAGCGCCTCCTGGAGTTCTGCTGCTGTCATGATCTCTGCATCACATATTCCTTCTTCGACACCAAGCCCCAGCATAAGGTTTCCTGGAGACACCCCAGGTCTAAGCATTGACACCAACTTGACCTGGTGCTTATGGGGCGTAACAATCTGAGAAATGTCAAACTGACCCGCAGCTTCCAGAGCGCAGATTGTGACACCGACCACTCTCTCGTCGTTTGCAGAGTAAAGTTCCAGCCCCGGAAAATCCACAGAGCAAAGGAGGGAAGACTATGCATTAACGTAAACAAGACCCGTGACCTTCACAAGGTGGAGGAATTCACTGTGGCGCTGGTAAATGACCTTCCTGTACCACCCTGTGATAGCGCAAGTGAGAGGTGGTCACATCTCAGGGGCACTATTTTCAACACTGCCATGTCCACCTTCGGTAAGAGGCAGAACAAGTCAGCAGATTGGTTCGAGGCCAGTGCAGAGGAACTGTTACCCCTCGTAGAGGAAAAGAGATGAGTTCTCTCATCCTACAAGAACCTGCCCTCAGAAAGGAACCTACAGGCCCTCCGTACTGCCCGCAGTAAAGTTCAACAAACTGCGAGGTGTTGTGCTAACGATTACTGACTTCGACTCTGTTCCATCATCCAGACTGCGGCCACTGTCGGCAACATAAGAGGCATGTACGAAGGGATTAAACAGGCAACAGGCCCTACACAAAACAGGACGGCTCCTCTGAAATCAGCCGCTGGAGAGATCATTAAAGACCGTGATCAACAGATGAATCGCTGTGTGGAACATTACTTTGAACTCTACTCCAGAGAGAACTTGATCAGCGTAGAGGCTTTGGATGCAATCGAATGCTTGCCCATCATGGAAGAACTTGATCTTGAACCAACTGTGGAAGAAGTTGAGAAAGCAGTGCATTCACTTTCCTCGGAAGGCCCCAGGAGACGACGAGATTCCGTCTGAAGTTCTCAAGTGTGCTCTTGGAACACTTAAAACTGAGCTTCATGAACTTCTGTGCCAGTGCTGGAGGGAGGGCTCGGTGCCACAAGACATGAGAGATGCAAACATCATCACTCTCTACAAAAATAAAAGGTGACAGAAGCGATGTCAACAACTATCGCGGCATCTCCCTCCTCAGCGTCGTTGGCAAACTCTTCGCCAGGGTCGTCTTCGTCAGGCTTCAGATTCTTGCCGAAAGAGTGTACTCCGAGTCACAGTGTGGTTTCCGAGCAGAAAGGTCGATCATTGACATGGTGTTCTCCCTGAGACAGCTTCAAGAAAAGTGCAGGGAGTAGAGAAAAGCCCTGTACATCGCCTTCATTGACCTAACAAAGAGCTTCAATCTCGTGAGTATGGACGGACTCTTCAAGATCTTGGCCAAAATTGGCTGCCCACCCCATCCTACTCAGCATGATACAATCGTTCCACAAGGACATGAAGAGGACAGTCGTGTACGATGGCTCAACTTCTGAATCATTCAACATCATCAGTGGTGTTAAACAGGGGTGTGTTCTTGCTCCAACCCTGTTCGGCATCGTCTTTGCGATCCTCGTCAAGCATGCCTTTGGAACAACCACAGAAGGCATCTATCTCCGTACAAGATCTGATAGAAAGCTCTATAATCTATCCAGACTCCGAGCAAAGACAAAAGTACATATGAGAATCCTCAGGGAGTTCCTCTTCTCGACCACTGTCAGATGCACCCGCTTCGGCGTTTATCTGCGCTCGCTGCAGTCGGGACTGTCATTCTCGGGTTGGCCTTCCCAGCCACAGCAGGCGCTGCACCCAACTACACTACAACAACTAGACACCCAGGGCACAACTCCATAACCCCACGGGATTGACGGATGCCTACTACTAATAAAATAATATATAATATAATATAATATAATATAATATAATATAATATAATATAATATAATATAATATAATATAATATAATAAGGTAGAAAAAAGACCTGCTGCTAGATTTGGGAACCTTGGATGGTGCTCTATGGCTCCAAACAGCATCAGGTAAACAGAGGGATCAACACTCTTCATTTTATCAAGAGACAATGCAGGCGGTTAAGAGAATAATAACAGTACAACGAAGGGAATTACTGATAACGTTATTTCCGAATTGTTACAACACGGTGTCACGGTAACCGTAGACAAATATCTTAGCATCCTACATGTTACTACTGCTCAACTTACACTCGGCTATAAATATCTCTGGTAATTTTCATTATCTGGATCTGGATCCCTTTAATCTTGGATCCAGGGTCGTAAGACCTGCTGATGACCAAATGACCAAAAGACTGACCAAATGTAAACTGTGTCAACAAAATTATACGCACACCCTCCTTCACTATGTGATGGAGTGCGAAAAGATACGTGAATTCTGAGACAATTCTGTAACAAATGTTCAAAAGATGTGTAAATATTTCATTCAAAATTATCTGCTACCAGAAATCTTAGCCAAATATCCCCAGTTTGCTAACTGTAGGTAGTAACTAAGTGATTGTAACCTATCCACCGCTGGCCACTGGATGGGGGGCGGTGTGCAGGACAAACATATCAATTGTGACACTAGCTCTCCACATATGTCAGTTGCTTAATTTAGAAACTGTACTTGTGGTCGGTCTCAAGCCCCTTGTTGATGTGACGATGTTCAGTGAATTTTGTAACTAGCTCATCAAGATTGAAACTTGCTTAGCTAAATTAATTGTGGGGTTTAGTCCCTGAGCCCATTATGTGCCTCTGTAACCCTTTCCACTACCGCCCACAACATGGGGTAGTAGTAGTAGTAGTTGTAGTAGGCATCCGTCAATCCCGTGGGGTTATAGAGTTGTGCCCCTGGGTGTCTAGTTATTTGCAGTCTAGTTGGATGCAGCACCTGCTATGGCTGTGAAGGCCAACCCGAGAATGACAGTCCCGACTGCAGCGAGCGCAGATAAACGCCGAAGCGGGTGCATCTGACAGTGGTCGAGACCTCCTCTGAAGTCTATTACCCTTCGCCTGCCTCTTCAGTTCATCCTCGAATTGCTAGAGTCCGTTCTGCACTTTGCATCTCCAGGCCTGTCTGCAGCTGCTGCCTCCCAAGTGTTAATATGGTTCTTCATCTGTTTGAGGTCGCGTTTGCAGACGTCTTTGAAACGCAACTGAGGTCTTCTGTTGGGTCTCCTTCCTGATGCCAGTTCTCCATACAAGAGGTCCTTCGGTATCCGGTCAT